AAAATATTATTATTTTTTTTAATTATAATCCTAAGTATAGTGCTTTCCCGAGTTCTGTGAATCATTCTGTTGCAGTAGTGGCAACACCCAAACGTGTAGCCAGGTGGTCAGAAGCATGGGTGTCCTGTGGACCTCTGAGTTTGCAGCGAGCATTGAGGTCCTGGGCACGTTTAGCAGTCTGGAGGACTGTGCCTTTAACTTGTGAAGTCTGGCCTAACTCCAGGTAGTTGGGGACAGAACTGAAGTCTTTGTAAATGTAATTTGGTAAGACCCCCTTAAGGGAGCAATCTGGCAATTGTGGTGAAATGAGTTCCTTTATGTGGTCTTTTGCCTTGGTTCTTTGGGAAAACAGCTTGAGAGATTTTTCCCCTAAACGCTGAGGCATTACTTTTGCCCTGGTTTTCTACCCCAGAGGGTTTTGTTACTTTTGTCCAGGTTGATTGACATTTTCTGGGTAAGCTATAAACAAATTATGGTCTGATACTTTTTCTCTGGTCCTAGGCTGCAGCCTGTCCTGTAATTGGTATGCACTTGCAGGATTGGTCAATAAACTATGCAAATAAAATGTTTGTAGCCTACTATGCAAATGAAGTGACTGTGCCATGCCTTGAAATTGATGAGGAGTTTTTCAGACAGGAAGCTGACAGAGCAGAGGGAAGACAGAAGAGAGAAGCAGAGAAAAGGCAAGGAACACTCTAAAAGAGCTGTAACACAGGTTAATGGTTATAACATGGAAGAGGGCAACAGGCCCCGAAGGGGTCTTGCAGCAGAGTAGGTGGTAACAGACGGCAGGGTCAAGAGGAGCCTGTCCTGAGGGGGCCGAGAGAAGTCTGTCCTGAGGGGGCCGAGAGGAGCCTGTGCTAAGGAGGGAAGGGGGCTGAGAAGAGGCCTGCACGGCTGAGAGGAGCTGACAGTTATCCCGCCCTGAAGAAGGGAGACTTTGCCTACATGTTTCCTGATCCTGATCCTGACTTGTGGCCTGTTGACCCCGATCCCAAGTTGGACCCTATTACTTCCTTAATAAATCACTTAACTGTAAGTATGGTCTATGAGTTCTGTGTGGCCATTGCAACAAATTAGCAAACCCAGAAGAGAAGTAGGGCACACCGTGGGAGGGACAGCTGGTGTCAGACTTGGTAAAACGTTTGGAGGGTGGAGGTATATCTGACCTCCACCTCATAGGGATCCGCTTTGGGCTAATCCTGGTCATTATCCCCTCTGAAGTTAGGTGCTGACATTACTATCACAACCACCTAGACTTTACACAAATCCACCAGAATCACAAATGCACTAACATTTTGGTCCACCAGTTCTACTTTTAGAAGTGTACCCTATATTTGTTGTCGTTAGATGCCGTCAGGTTGGTTCCGACTCATAGCGACCCTACGCACAACAGAAGGAAACCCTGCCCGGTCCTGCGCCATCTTCATGATCGTTGTTAGGTTTGAGCCCATTGTTGCAGCCACTGTGTCAATCCATCTCCTTGACAGTCTTCCTCGTTTTCGATGACCCTCTACCAAGTATGATGTCCTTCTCCAGGGACTAATCCCTCCTAATAACATGTCCAAAGTATGTGAGACAAAGTCTTATCATCCTTGCTTCTAAGGAGCATTCTGGCTGTACTTCTTCCAAGACAGATTTGTTCGTTCTTTTGGCAGTCCATGGTGTATTCAGTATTCTTCGCCAACATCGTAATTCAAAGGCATCAATTCTTCTTTGGTCTTCCTTATTCATTACCCAACTTTCACATGCATATGAGGTGATTGAAAACACCATGGCTTGGGTATCCTACAGATAAATGTGTAAAGGGACGTGGGTGCAAGGTTATTTATTGCGCAACTGTAATGGCAAAAGATTTCTAATAACCTAAATATCCACTAGTTGGGGACTGGGTGCATAGATTATGGTACACTCATGTAACTATATAAGATATAACCTCAGAAATAATGAGGATGCTTTTAATAAACTATTATTCAAAGATTTCCAACACATAAATAATTGAAAAGTGCAAGATGTAGAACAGTGTATAATATTCTACCATTTATGTAAAAAAGGGGGGATGAAAAGTGAATATGTAAATTAATGTTTTATAGAGTTATCTCTGTAACATACAGGAAGCTATTAACATTGGTTAAGCTATTAACAATAGAGTATACTCTATTGTACCTTTTGAACTTTGAATCACGATAACGTACTACGTTAAAAAAATTTTTTAATGTACCTACCCTTAGATCCAGCAACTACACTTTTAGGAAATTATCCCACGGGGAAAAATTAAATAAATTGTGCAAATTTTCATTGACGTATTACTTACAACATGGAAAAAGAGGAAACAATTTACAGGTCCCAAAACAGGAATTAAGAATATATTGATTTCAAATGATGAAATACCACAGAGCCACTTAGAATAATTTTGGAGAAGCGTATTCATGGTGTAGGAAAATGTTCACGAGACTTTGCCGAGTTTTTAGAAAACAAATTAATAAACAATGTGCATACATTTTATCATTTTAAAATATATTTGTATTTGGGCATAGAAAAAAGTCTGGAATGTGGTTTACCATAATTTAACAATAGTCTCTCAATTTATCTTCTGATTCTTATTATCTTTTATATTTTTTCTTGTATCATCTGATTCTTTTTACAATGAGCATGTGTTATTTATAAAATTAAAGAAAAAAGTCAAGGGGACAGACATGGTCTCTAAATACCATTCCCTACTAAAAGGAAACAGAGCTGCTTGGAGACATGGCTGATTCTGGGCTGACTTCAGAAAGCAAAGAAGATATCAGAGACCCCTGGAGTCCCATCAAATGGATTTAGAAGCCAACTTGGAGAGGCTACCACTGGCCAGAGCTGGGGGAATTGAGGCTTTGTTAAGAAGAGTAACAGCAAAGGATTGAAACACGTCAACTATGCTAAATTCATGCCTTCTTAATGATGATTTTGAAAGAATTCTATTTGGGGAAGTTGTTGTCGTTAGCTGCGGTTGCGTCAGCCTGACTCATAGCGATCCCATGCCCAATGGAGCAAAATGCTGCTTGGTCCTGTGCCATCCCCATGATTGATTGGGATAGGACCATTAAGACCCATAGGGTTTTCATAGGCTGATTTTCAGAAGTAGATCACCAGGCTTTTCTTCCTAGTCTGTCTGAGTCTGGAAGCGCTACTGAAATCTGTTCAGCATCATAGCAACACGCAAGCCTCCACTGACGAGGTGCAGTGGCTGGGAATTGAACCCAGGTCTCCCGCATGGAAGGCAAGAATTCTACCATTGAACCACCACTGCTCTCTTGACAATCATAAGGAGGCTAAAAAATGGTATTTAGAAAAGGGCACTGCTGGCACCACAGGAATGTGTAAGCATAAAATAATAAACAACATGGAAAACCAAAGCAGTAAATTTGCCTACAGGAACCAGAGAAGGTTTCACAGAAAAAATAGCTTTGGAGCTAAAACTTGACAACGAAATTGATATTTGCCAGAACTAGAGCCAGGAGCAGGAGGTAATTTCAGGAAGAAGGCTATGATTTTGGAAGACAGCATGAAACGGCAAAAGCATGTTCTGGGAACTATAAGCATTTCAGCTTTGCAGGAGCATTAAGCAGGGGGTCCTAGGACCTGTTTCCCAGCCTGATAGACCGCAGCCATACTTCACTTCCTTTATTCTAGCTGCGGGGGCGGGGGTAAGGCCTTTAGCTTGGGACCCTTTAAGCCTTTTAAAACTAGTTTCCAGTGGAAAAGGGAGAGGCGAGCCAACTTTTAGGAACCCTTACAAATTGTGGGCCAGAATACATTTTGGAGCCGTTTTAAAATGCAGTGCAAGAAAGACTAAAAGCAAAGAGGAAACGTGGGAGGGTTTCAGGCATAACGAGAACACTTGGTGTGAGCAACAACCACCTCCTTCCCGTAGTTACAGAAACCTTTGCACAAAGAAGGAAGATGAGTCAGTCAGAAATCAATGTTCTAAACTTCTTCTTGCGCAGTAGACTTTGTACCCACGGTGGTTTTACATATATTGAGTCTACATCACCCAGTATATTTCTAAACAACAATTTTTTTTTTTTTTTTTGGCTTGTAGGCAGTTTAAGTGCTTTACCTAAAGAGGCAGTGTTTGGTTTGATGGCATTTATTTCAAAAATTACAGATTATATATAAAATACCATAGCAAAAATGTTGTGAATTAATACTTGAAAGAAGCGATAAGGAATCAATTAGCATTGCAAAACTGGTAACAGAATGTATCCGGAGAATATAAGAGTGTGTCGCCTTGGATTAAAAAAAAAAAAACTATTTTCAAACGTTTTAGACAAGCAAAGCCTTTGCCATATGCCTTGCACAGTAACTTCTGTTGAATGATTTCACATGACCGCGGTCCCTCGCTTTTGCGCCTGCTCGCAGAGAAGTTCCGTTTTTCTCACGGTTTCTGTCACACCGTCCCCTCGGCGGTGACTTCCCCTTGCTTTGGGGGCGCTCCGCGTCCTGTTGCACAACCTCGGCTCCTGTCCAGGGGGTGCCCGGCGTGTAGCAAGCAGTCGCGTGGCTCCTCCGGGTCCCTGGGGTGCCGCCCAGACGCCGGGCCTCCCCCGGCCGCCTAGCTACCTGCACCGCGCAGGCCAGAATCTCCTTGCAAGTCGGTGGCCTCGCAAACGGCCGCGCACGCGGGGAAACCAGGCTCCTTTCCGGAAAGGCAGAGACAGCTCGGCTGAAGCCGGGACTGAG